TGCTCACCGACTGGTCTTCACAACACAATCTTAGAATGAATCCTTCCAATAGTAATGATGTTTTATTTTCTCGACTGAAGGGTGATCAATATATTGACGTGATGAACTCTTGTCAGCATGTCATTATCAATGGTGAAGAAGTTTCCAGAGCATGCTCCGTCAAATATCTTGGAGTCACCATTTCCTGCAATCTTTCTCGGTCTCCTCATGTCATCGAGACATTTCACAAAGTCGGAAAACTCACCTTTTACATTACTCGTTTGAAGATGCTATCTACCCCAACTCACTCAATAAAGCGTTTTGTTTTATCCTGTATCCTTCCCAACTGGCTTAATGCATCCCGCTATTTTTCCGGGTCTTTTATTCAAAGACTTCAAACTCATACGCACATCCATCAAACACGTGTCGATACAGCAGCATAAACCGTGAGCATGTTGTGCAGTTTACTATTTCACAGCACCTTAGGGCATGCCAGAAACTTTCTACCAGAGTACTACTTGACCCATCTCACCCACTGTACCCGCAACTTAGTCAATGTACCTCCACACCTAGCAATCGTTCCGTGTATAAGCATATGGCAGCACGCACCATTACATACAAGTCTTATATAATACCGTACTTGGCACGGTTTCTTACGACCGCTGATCTCTTCATTGGGACTCTTAAACAAAATCTTTGCTAAATTGGCTTTTTTGTATATGTAACGCATCATCACATGTTTTTTTATCATGTAATTTCCAAAGAAGAGTGATTGTGTAATAGCTGAATGTTCACCCCCTATGGGGAGAATTAAAGCCGCTTCTTGACTTGACTAGTGGTGTGGGATCGTTCATATTGATTTGAACTAACCCTTCTTCAGACTCCATCCTGACCATACACTCGGAAGCACTAGGATCGAGTTTCGCTCTCATTAGAGTGCAGCAATAATGCATATCCACCGACTCGGCTAGGCTTTGAACTTTGGACCCATCGCATGGAAGGCGTGTGCGTTACCACTACAAACCAGGTCAAACCATGGCTGAACCGAATCACCAATTTATGTTTATTCACATGTCGTTTCCAGAGATAGTCAGTCAGTTCGATTCGGCCCCCGACAGCAACGAAGGAAGCAAGAGGTAATTATGTGTTATTTAATGATTGAATGGGCAGCCAAAATCGGTGCACAAACAGTGCATAATTAATGTTTGTCCACACTGAAATTGTTATCCAGTGAATGAACGTCAGAATACATCTATGGATCAAACCCTGGCCTAAAACCAAGCCAAGCTGGCTCCAGGGCAAAACGGCCTAGAAGGGTATCGGTTAGTGTTTGCCATGATCGGCTGTTTCCCCTTGATTAGACGATCAACTTATGTCTACAGAAGAGTAGCACAGCTCCATGAAATAGACTATTTCAGAACCAAAGTATTAGGAAATACAGCCCTCGATCTTCGCACTAATGCATTCTATCCCCCTACCAACCTCGGTGAAATCACAAAGTTGCCCACAGATTAGAACCCCACCGGTTCTACCCAACGTTCTTCCGATTCAAACTGCATCTAACCTATGGGGGCCTTACGTGTGGTCTGCCCAAATCCTAGGAATTAGCTTACTGGTTTCCATATCTAAACAGTGCGTATTCGTTACTGTGAAGTTCGCCCCGTCTGCTGTTCATGATGCAGACTTATGTACTGAAAAAATATGGCTCTTTGTTCTCACGGCAATGATTGTCGTAAAAATAAAATCATCAAGACCACCAATTCCCGACAAAACAAGAGAGATTAATTCCTCTACACTTTATTCTGAAACCGGTGAAACAGGTCAACAATCGGACCGCAAACAAAAAAGCGCTTTTCTTTTATCCCAAAAAAGTATTCTAGTTCGTGCATGCAAATGTGAGTAAAGCATGACACAGAAAGTTGATTGATCTCGAGGAGCAGATCATATCGGACGGTTGACGAAGAATCACATTCCCCGAACCCACTCTCGGGGATTGCAAATGACCAGTGGAACTCGCAACGACGCTAAAGCGATACATACAGGCACGGATGCGGAAGCAATCATTTGTTTGAGTAACACCACTGCCGATTGATAATTCACTTTTTTTCATATTTCGATCACTTCCTCCGTGGGATAAAATTGTCTTGGTAACTGGATATTTAATCAAAAGAGAGTGGACTGCATTTTTGCCACCACTCTGAAAGAGATCGCATCGGCTTATTGGTCTCCACTAGAACAGGTACCTGCCCGCATCCCGCGTTATGATCAAACTCGGAGACGGGCATAATTCACATTTTCCCACATGTCTCCAAATGAACGCGTGTAGACGTGGCCACAAGAAGTGACCGGGTCCAGCACTGGTGTACCAATCAGTGGACTATAACGTGAAACGGGAAAAAGTACAGAGTAGGAACAGATCAAATTTATATGGTACCTTGATTCAAAGAAAAATAAAAACAAGCAGTGTGCTGAAACATGAATGTTGGGCAGTGATAGGCATAAAATGAAAAAAAGAACGCACAAGATATTGCGGGAAACGGTGCACTGATGGATCGTCTGATTGTGTACACGCTGACTGGCTGACGAAACGAACGGGTAATAGTGGCCAGATGCCCCGATGAATGATCAGTTTGGTGAGATCGGCTAGCGTTGGGCGGCCACCGAGAGTTTCGTGAATATGTTTAGCGGGGAGGTTTTGGTTCGAGCGTCTCCGGTGCCGAGACTGTTCCATGCAAGCTGGAACATGGAAGGCAAATAACAAAGCAAATCCAGGGATAATGACAGTGAAAATAGATACCGATTGATGGTCTAAGGAAAGCAGCTTGATTCAGGCACACAAAACACACGTTCGCCAGTACACCAGGTGAGTCTAATGAAGGAGGACGGATTTGAGTGGTAAACTGTTAGGCCATGAATAGCATAGAATGGAAGCGATTGAGTGAATGATACGGTTCTATTTCTCCGAAACAGGACACAACGTTTCGAACATAGCAGTACAAACAAATGTGTTCAATATACAACAGAAATCGGGTCTTCAAATAAGGATTGACGCACGGTTTCGTTCAAGGGATTTCGAACGGAGACTGATCAAAACAAACCAGCTTTGATCTAGTAACATACGTTACCTGGGGAAACCTGACTTTATTTTGAAGTGAATTTAAGTGAATGGACAAACACAATTCTCCACTTTGTGTTGACCATGCACGTGGTGGTTTTTGGTTGTTGCAGTTTTGCGGCAAGCTATTGGGTCTTACAAGCCTGTGATTGGCGGAACTGTCCATTATGGGGGATGTCTCTAGGCTGAAGAAAGGAGAACGATTGCTTGGGTGATGTCAATTGTGAGTAAGC